AGTGACAGTGCCCTCTACAGCTAAGATGGTGAACAACAGCTAGACCTGGAGCTGGGCTGCCGTGAGTCGCCGGTAATGGCGTAGGCTGCAGTAGAGCTGCAGTGGGCTGCCATAAAGCTACCATGAGTGGCTGACAGCCAGCATGAGATGCCAAGAGCTGCCATGAGCAGCCGTCCAGAAGCCAGTGACCCATCTGCCTCACCTGGGAAGAGCACAATGATAATACCAACATGGGCCAGTGAAAGCGATGTCCTCTGTAACTAGACTGAAGAACAAAAGGACAGCAACTTGTCTGTCCCCCTTCCCCGATTCCCCAACGCTGTTCCCTCCCCCAATTCAATCTTTAAAAAAATAATAATAAAATAAACATGAAAAGCAAACATGAGATTTCTATTTATACATTAGATAGAAATAATACTTAAGTTTTCACTTAAACCAATAGATAAAAACATTGTCTAATTTTTAAATGTGAAGTTCACAGATAGAATGCATAATCTAAAAATTCTAATCAAGCTAAGTGTTTCAGGAACTATATTAAAACACAGTTTAAATAGCAAAATAGAACCCAGGTTAGTGTTCAGTAAGATGATTTTAAGATATATGTAAAGACTATCTGTATATAATAAAATTTTAGAATTTATTGTAAATCATCTTGAATTCTAGATAATTAAGCATGTTTTAAATGTCTTTGTGTTGAAACATTCTATAAATATACTACCAGTAAAACATTTTAAAGTCATACCTGCAAAAGAGTTGTTCTGTGGAGCTTTAGTGCCCCCTTCTGGTGGATTTTAGCAAAGCATCCTGAGCAATAATCTTCTCCACATTCAAGGCATACCTTAAAAGACATTAAAAAAAAAAATCATATCATATGACTTTGAGAAAATGTTTGAATAAAGATGTTATTGCTATTACCTTTATACAATTACATACCTAGATGTCATCATAATTGAAAAGTCCAAGAGTTAAGATTTAACTCTGAGAAAAACTAACTTGTAAACAAATTACTCTCATATCAAAATTAATAGGTAGAATGTAGGTTTTAGATATATGTGCATATGTGTGTGTGCAGCTTTTGAATAAATAAAAAAAACTCAGCAGCACCAGATCAAACTTCCCTACCTGGTAAAAACTAAACAGTATTATCTCTGAATCAAAACTACTTCATTTTTAGGAGTTCTTTTATCTTTCTGTATGGATTTACAGGGCACAATTAGTTCCAAATGATATGTATACTATTTGCCTCCAAATGTCCCCATACACTTCCTTGATTAATGCTCTTTCATTGATGATTCTCAAAATATGGCTTAAAAAGTGTTCTTAGAATATTTCTCAAAGGAAAAAGAGTAGAAGAAACAAAAATATATAGACACAGACAATAGTTCAGTGGTTACCAGAGGGTAAGGGGAGAGGAGGGAAGTAGAAAAGGGTAAAGGGGGTCAAATATATGGTGATGGAAGGAGAACTGACTCTGGGTGGTGAACACACAATGTGATATACAGATGATGTATTACAGAATTGTACACTTGAAACCTATTTAATTTTATTGACCAATGTCACCCCAATAAATTTAATAAAACAATAAATAATAAATAAAAATCAAATGTTTTAAAAAAGAAGAAAAAAGCAAAACTAAATGGAA